CTGCAGAACCTAGTGCCACGCCGTCCAAAGCGGTAATGAGCAGAGGCAGGAGAGCAGCGCTGATTTATATATTTTCAGGTTCAAGCAGAATGATGTGCAACCAAGTGGTATTCGTTTATGATGACTGGGTTTGGGAAAAAAGCCTTATTTCATGAAAACAGTGATAAAATTATCATTTGTACATTTTCAAAAGTTTAATTACAGAAAAATGGGAAAAATGTCTATTTCAGCAGGTTTGTAATGTAATATTCTATCGATTGGCGTATTTGGATTTAAATTTCATCTATAAATGACCCATAAATATGGGTATTTTTAGAATCGGGCTAATGACTAAAGGCCGCTAATCCTGCCGCTAATCAATATCCGATAAGTTTTTGAAATTAAAGATGGCGGCTTCTGGTTTAAGAAAAATTGGGAATGCTGTCAATTATCTATAAAATGGGTATTTTTGGGATCGGGTGACGTCTAGAGATTGGAAATAGGCATACGATGCCATTTTGAATTCCGAGATCCAAGAAAGATTGGGAATTACTATCAATTATCAATCAATATGGGATTTTTTTGAAGGTTTTTGGAGGTTGTCGTCTAGAGAAAATCGATATCCGATGCCATTTTGAAATCAAATGTGGCGGCTTCCAGTTTCATAAAAAGTGAAAAATAATTTCAAAAGTCCATAAATATGGGTATTTTTAGAATTTGGGTCACGAAGAGGCCAAAAATCAATTTTAACATAACTTTAACCTAACATTTACTTCCCAACAAACAATTGCCTATTGAAGAAACGGCTTCTTGACTATTTTATATCACTTCATGCTTAATAATACTTGTACTATTTTAAATATTAACTTCTGTTCAGGCTTTGTTCACACAAATCTGGAGAATTTATTCAACTACAACATCGAAGTATTTGGTGTTGAATAAGGTATGTCGAGAAGCTTTTCTTTGACTTACAAAAATTGTAACAGAGCTTATTCGATCAAATTTTTGATTATTCAGCGTTAATTAGACATCATTACTTCCTTAAACAGCGATGATATAAAGGTGTATATAGACGCTTGATTATTATGTGAAATAATGTTTCATTAGACACTATTCTACATTTATTAAACGATTATTAAATTACGGGATAATTTAACTTAAACTTAACTTAACTTCAACTAAATTTTAACTTAACTTTAAATAAACTTTAACATAACCTTTACTTAACTTTGACTTAATTTTAACATAACTTTAACCTAACTTTAACATAACTTTAAATTTTAACTTAAATTAAACATAACTTTAACTTAAACCGAACATTAACTTAACATATCTTTAACTTAAACTTTAAATTAACGTAATTTTAACTTAAATTTAACATAACTTTATCCTAAAATTAACTGAACTTTAACTTCTTAAGTTTAACTTTAACTTTAACATTAACATAACTTTAACTTTAACATAACGTTAACTTAACTTTACTTAAATTTAACTTTAACTTAACTTTAACTTAACTTAACTCAACTTTAACTCAACTTTAACACAACTTTAACTTAACTTTAACTCAATTTTAACTTAACTTTAACTTAACTTTAACTCAACTTTAACTTAACTTTAACTTAACTTTAACTTAACTTTAACTTAACTTTAACTGAACTTTAACTTAATTTTAACTTAACTCTAACTTAACTTAACTTTAACTTAACTTTAACTTAACTTTAACTTAACTTTAACTGAACTTTAACTTAACTTTAACTTAACTTTAACTTAACTTTAACTCAACTTTAACTCAACTTTAACTTAACTTTAAATTAACTTTAACTTAACTTTAACTTAACTTTAACTTAACTTTAACTGAACTTTAACTTAACTTTAACTTAATTTTAACTTAACTTTAACTTAACTTTAACTTAACTTTAACTTAACTTTAACTCAACTTTAACTCAACTTTAACTTAACTTTAACTTAACTTTAACTGAACTTTAACTTAACTTTAACTTAATTTTAACTTAATTTAACTCAACTTTAACTTAACTTTAACTTAATTTTAACTTAACTGAAACTTAACTTTAACTTAACTTTAACTTAACTTTAACTTAACTTAAACTTAAATTTTAACATAACTTTATTTTTAACATAACTTTAAACTAAAATTAACTTTAAATTTAACATAACTTTAACATTAACATAACTTTATCTTTAACCGAACATTAACTTAACATATCTTTAACTTAAACAAAACCTTAACGTAATTTTAACTTACATTTAACATAACTTTATCCTAACATTAACTTAAGCATTAACTTTAACTTTAACATAACGTTAAGATAACCTAAACTTAACTTAACTTAAACTTAACTTTAACTTAACTTAAACTTAACTTAAACTTAACTTAAATTTAACTTAAACTTAACTTAAACTTAACTTAACTTTAATTAAATTTTAACTTAACTTTAAATAAACTTTAACATAACCTTAACTTTATTTTGACTTAAATTTAACATAACTTAAATTTTAACATAACTTTAACCGAACATTAACTTAACCTTAAATTTTAACTTAAATTTAACATAACTTTAACATTAACATAACTTTAACTCAAACCGAACATTAACTTAACATAACTTTAACTAAACGTAATTTTAACTTAAATTTAACATAACTTTATCCTAAAATTTACTGAACTTTAACTTAACTTTAAGCATCAACTTTAACTTTAACATAACGTTAACTAAACTTAACTTAAATTTAACTTAACTTAACTTTAACTTACCTATAGCATAATTTTAACTTAAATTTACTTGAACATAATTTTAGCAAAACTTCACCTTAAATTGAAACAAATTCAACATAAATTTAATTTATTTATAGCATAACTTTAACTTTAACATAACTTTAAATTAATTATAACTTAACATTACCATAACTTTAACGTAACTTTAACTTTAACATAAATTTAATTTAAATTTAATTTAAAGTTAACTTTAACATAACTTATACATAAATTTGAATAAACTTCACCTTAACATAATTTAAACTTACCATTAACTTAACGTTAACTTAAATTTTACTTAACTTTAACTTAACGTTAACTTAACTTCAACATAACTTTAACTTACCTTTAACTTAACTTTATCTTAAACATAAATTAACTTAACTTTATCTTAACATAAACATAACTGTAACTTACCTTTAACTTAACTTAAACATAACCTTAACTTAACTCTAGCTTAACTTTAACGTAACATTAACTAAATTTTAACTTTTGTTTTAACAAATGTTTATCTTACTATTAACAGAACTTTAAATTTAACATAACATTAACTTAACTTTAACTTTACTTTAAAATAATTGTAGCATGAAATTAACATAACTCTAACTTAATTAGCCGAACTTTAACTTAACTTTAACTTAAATTTTAACTTAATTTTAACTTAATTTAACTCAACTTTAACTTAACTTAACTCAACTTTAACTCAACTTTAACTTAACTTTAACTTAGCTTTAACTTAACTTTAACTCAACTTTAACTTAACTTTAACTGAACTTTAACTTAACTTTAACTTAACTTAACTCAACTTTAACTTAACTTTAACTTAACTTTAACTTAACTTTAACTTAACTTTAACTGAACTTTAACTTAACTTAACTCAACTTCAACTCAACTTTAACTTAACTTTAACTTAACTTTAACTAAACTTTAACTTAACTTAACTCAACTTCAACTCAACTTTAACTTAACTGAAACTTAACTTTAACTTTAACTTAACTTTAACTTAACTTTAACTTAACTTTAACTCAACTTTAACTTAACTTTAACTGAACTTTAACTTAACTTTAACTTAACTTTAACTTAACTTAACTCAACTTTAACTCAACTTTAACTTAACTTTAACTTAACCTTAACTTAACTTTAACTCAACTTTAACTTAACTTTAACTGAACTTTAACTTAACTTAACTCAACTTTAACTTAACTTTAACTTAATTTTAACTTAACTTTAACTTAACTTTAACTTAACTTTCTACTCGTGTCTACTCGGTAACAATATCCTCCAGGTCGTCCTTGTTGTGAGGAAACTCCTGAGTTGCTGTTGTCGCTGGTTTTGCCAGCTTGACTATCATCTCCCGTTCGATCCGCATTAGCTCTGTCAATGTCGTCATCCAGATCCGTCATTGTTGCATATTTTATAGGCATCATTTCCGGATCTCTCTTGGGCTGTGGAGTGGCCGGACCTGAAGCAGAATTGCTCGAACCAGCCTTCACCTCAGTCAGATTAGTTTCCGGCTGGGAGTCGTCCATATCCTTTGTCAGATCTTCTGATTGTTCGTCATCAGCACAAGGTTTTTTTTTGGAATACGGCCGGTGGCCGACCGCTCTTCCGTTTACCACCCTTTGCTTGCGGAGAAGGCGATCGTTTGCACTTCTGATGAACAACTTTCATCATTAGCTTTCTTCACTTTATCGTCCGATCCACCGGCCATCAGATCCGTAACACCGAGTCGCAGTTTGTGGACCTCTTTACGACCGGCTTCATCCACTTCGTAATCCTCTTTTGCCATCCATTCATTGTACTCTTCCAGATCGGTTACCCACGAAAGCGAAACAGACCAACGGTCACCCGGTGACATCGGAGAATCCGGCACGGCCTCCGGCAAATCAAACGTATTCGGTACTCAGGTATCGTACGAATCCGGGAAGTAATACCAATGAATCATCACATGCTTATCCCGGCGGAATGTAGGCCTTGCATAATCCTCCAGCAGGGGATCAACCACCGGATAGATGATATGCGTCGCCTCCTCCTCGTCCATCGTCATCTCACCCTGATGATTGGTTACAATGTTCGATATTCGATTAGCAGTAGCCTTGTCCACTTCGGGCATAACGTAAACGATCGGTAGCCGCATGTATTCAGCTTCGATTAGAGCCGTCTTCATGTTAAGCAGCATCTGTATAATGGTGTCATTAAGCATAGGGTGGAACATTTGATCAAAAGGGAATTAGCACCGGGCGTGGAACATGCTTACCTTGTTTACCGTAAAATCGAATTTCCGCCAGCGCTGTTCAGCCTTGTAACTGTACATCGTGGCCAGAATATGACAAAGCGATCCACCCGGTTTAAAATCCATAAAACATCGCATCTGCGCAAGAAGTAAGAATTTTACCACTGACCACAAGCTGTTTAACCCTGAATTTAGGGAACACTTACCGGCAACCTAGTAGTGAGTTTGGTCTCCTGGTACTGCACAAACTGTACAACTAATTGCGCTAATGATTCCTTTGTCGGAGGATCAGGTGCCAAGTACTGAAATTACGCAAAATAATATCAGTAGTAATTTCCGGATGCCTTAAACATCCTTGTTGATGCGTTGCATCAGTAAATTAAACATAATTGCAATAAATATAACAAATATTTTAATACTTACTGTTAGCTGCTTCCTTTCGCTCGCGGCTCGGGTAAAAGTAAACAAACTTTTACCAAACAAGATGGCTGAGCGCACGACAAAAAAAAACACACCTATTTAAAAACGATCAGTCTTCAAGTCGCCCAATGTCAAATGACGTCACTTTTTCGCCAGCAATTCGTGTGGGCTGTAGCTAACAGTTACTACTTAATTGGCATAATAAATTACTCATTAATTAGTAGTGTCACTTTTATTGACAATGGGTTCACTTTTATTCATAAATGGATGTTAGATTCTTACCGTGCACATGACAGTATACGCTCACACCAAATTTTGTTTTCATCTTCCAGCAAAATGGTTTGCTGAAAATGATCCAGCAATACGATTTTTGCTGAAACAACAGCAAACAACTTTTTAATTACTGAAAACCCAGTAAATCAGTTTTTTGCTGGAAACCAGCAAATCATAAACTGTCAAAAAGACTTGTGATTTTTCTCATTAGTTTGACGACCGCAAAATTCTCCAAAAATGTATTGTATTAGGAATTCCTGGTTTCTAATTGAAGAAGTTCACTATTGTTCGTAACAATAACGGTAAGACGGGAATACATTGAAGGAAATATTATTTCTTAGCAGGTTGTGTTTAATTTTAGGTTATTCCGGTGGAAAAGATTCTTTCGGAAAAATTATCATCCGGTGCTAGTAGAGATGATCTTGGATTTATTTGAACGTTTAGTGCTTAAGGGTAGATATGAACTGAATAAAATAGTTTTTAAATGAGTTCTCATTCGTTTTGCATTATTTTGTTTAATAAAGTGAGAAAAACGTGCGTTTACAATTGCTGAACAATCAGCAATATTTCCACCATAATTTTCAGAAAAAAATTGCTGGTTTTCCAGCAACCTTCTGTCAAAAAAGATTTGCTGGAAAACCAGCAAAATTTATTTTGCTGAATGGATTGCTGGCTTTCCAGCTCGGCAAAATCCAGCAAAATTTTGCTGGTTTCCAGCAATAGAAAATGAGTGTGTAGTGTGTGTAAAATTCAGTGCCAACATTTCAAAGGGGCGTAATTGCATTTGTAAACAATGGCTTTAGCCATCGATTTCTCGCGAATAAAAGCTCACTCATGAAAAATAATGACACCAGTAGGTAGAGGAATGTTTCCTCTACCAGCTAGCATTGTTATTTTGAAGAGGTAAGATTTCATTCGCGAGAAATTGATGGCTAAAGTCATTGTTTACAAAAGCAATTACGCCCCTTTGAAATGTTGGCACTGAATTATATTATTAGTGTACACGGAGATGAAAAACAACTCAAAATTAAGTACTTTTCCCTCAATTCCGGGGTTCAGCCCAATAACCCAAATTTGAGTAAATCGCATATAGTAGTTTCCATTTAATATCAGCAAAAAAAATTACCTACTCTTAAGTATATTCTACCCAAAATTAAGTTTAATTCACGTAAATTTGAGAATATGCATTTTACTCAAGAGTAACTTATTGGGCTGAACTATATCGTTGGGTCGAATCTCTTGTTCCTTTTTTGACAACAATAACGAGTGCAAGTGAGAGGCTGAAGTCAATATTAAGTAAAAAGAACTCAAATTTTGGGTAGTATTTTTTCTCCGTGTAGTGTTCGTCTCGGTGTTCGTGACATCCTGCTTGGAGAACTCAATTAGGTTCTGCAGCGTGACGTCACGAATGAACTCAGTGTTAATCGGCTGAACCTTTTTGACAGTTCAGTGGTACTGTTTACAAGCACTTAGTCGTTTTTTCGAAAAAACAAATTCTAAAATTTCCGAATTTTAACTTGAAAATTGTCGAGGAACATCGCATTGCAAGGATGTTGCTCGTGAACATTGCAGAAATGTGGTTTACATCTCACTGCAGTCTGAAAAATTATCGAGAAAATCCACCCAAGAAAAAATCGGCTAAGTCCACGTAAACAGTACCACTAAACTGTCATCAGATTGAGGTTAACCCCGACGGTGCAAAACCTAATTGGCGTTGACGGCACCGTTGAAAAATTGTCTCTTCTAGCAAAAATTGGCAGTATCTTACGGGTATTTTCGGTGGAGTAAAGAGATAGTACAAAAGCCGCCATGTTTCACGCTCGGTTTCACGCACAGTCTGACGTTTGCTTATACGTGATTTTCCATAGGAATAAAGAGCTACAGAGTCGCCGTCAACGCCAATGGTTTAGAGCCTACACGGTAACCGCAAAATACCCAATAATGACTACAAAGTAAAGCATTTTCGAGGGAAACTGGGACTACCCATAAAATGAGTAAAATTTTACCCATTTATGAGTAATTACAACTACAAAAATAAGTAGTAAGTATTCATTTTTGAGTAACATATGTTATAACTCTGTAGTCTGAACGTACTATCAGCACAAACGAAGTGACAGACGGAGCGGCTCGAAAACTTTGGTGACTAACCTGCTATTGCAATTTTTCAGTGTACCACATGGCAACACCACTACTACTGGATTGTACCACATGGCAACACTACTACCAACAATCAATACGAAACTAACGATTTAAAATTGGCTCACTACTTGACTAGCCTATTGGTCCCAGGCAAACCGATTAACGTACCCCATTCTAGTCGAAATTCTAGTACTACACTATGTTTGTTTTGATTCGCTATGAAAGTTTGACAGATAAAATGAGGGGTTAGTGGATTTTCCTATGTTTCGAGGGGTGAATCGATTAGTTTGGGACCGAAGAGAGTACCAGAGCTGAGCCAAAAAGTTGAGTACGTTTCTTCGGGAACTTCTAGTCTTATGGCGGTAAGCTATAACTCGGATTAACTTTTAATACCGTCCCTGTTTGAAAGATCTGCGAATTGTTTGCATAGCATCGTGTAGAATAACTCTGATGCCGACATCAAAGCAGCCGGACATTCTTGATCAGGATTTAATCCGAGGATAATACCGATTGGAGCTTACAGCCATTAGAGTTACCTCTATGCTACTACTAGATTGAACTAGCATTTTAACCGAATGTACTAGAATGTTTTGGTTCTATCTCTTTCACTCTACTCAAAACTGAAATGCATAAAAAAATGACAAAATGATACGCACTCTTTGCACACTGTCAAAGAATCATTGTACACAAAATCAACTTTGTTCAAATCAAAACAAAAAAACTAACCCATCTGGTGGATGATGGCAAAAGCTTCCAAGAAAATTCTATTACAGTGAACCACATTATTTTAATGGATTTCTTCGCCAGTTAGTCGTCTGTAACTTCGTTTGTGCTATTAGACTAGAAGGTCCCGGAATAACGTGCTCAACTTTTTGGCTCAGCTCTGGTACTCTCTTCGGTCCCAAGCTAATCGATTCACCCCTCGAAACATAGGAAAAACCAATAACCCCGCATTTTATCTGTCAAACTTTCATAGCGAATCAAAACAAACATTGCGTAGTAATAGAATTTTGACTAGAATGAGGTACGTTAATCGTTTGCTTGGGACCAATAGGCTAGTCAAGTAGTGAGCCAATTTAAAATCGTTAGTTTCATATTGATTGTTGTTATAACTCTGTAGTCTGAACGTACTATAAGCACAAACGAAGTGACAAACGGAGCGGCTCGAAAACTTTGGTGACTAACCTGCTATTGCAATTTTTCAGTGTACCACATGGCAACACCACTACTACTGGCTTGTACCACATGGCAACACTACTAATGGATTGTACTAGAATGTTTTGGTTCTATTTCTTTCACTCTACTCTAAACTGAAATGCATAAAAAAAATGACAAAATGATACGCACTCTTTGCACACTGTCAAAGAATTATTGTACACAAAATCAACTTTGTTCAAATCAAAACAAAAAAACTAACTCATCTGGTGGATGATGGCACAAGCTTCCAAGAAAATTCTATTACAGTGAACCACATTATTTAAATGGATTTCTTCGCCAGTTAGTCGTCTGTCACTTCGTTTGTGGTTTAACGTACAGAACGAGAGTAAATTCAATTGGCGCGTGTGGGATTTTCCGGTTTTCTACTGAAACGATAATACATAAGGTTGAAACTTTATCATTAAACGTTCATGTAAAGTTCCATAACCATTTCAGTTAAAGTTTAGCAGGGATTATAAACAATTTTTAACCATTTTAGGTAAGGTCAATTTATGGTTCGCGTTTATGCGGGCGTGCTGTCAAATCAGCCTACTGATCATTCTTGTATGAAAGTGCCCTAATAAAAAAATACCATAAATGAACGATAACCCAAATGGTTGAACTATTCCACTAATGGTTTGGATGATACCCCGAACACGTCGTTAAGCAAATTAACCATAACATTTTTATTAGGGTGGTTCCAAACGTAAACAAACGCTGTAGGTTTCTTATGGCTTGTTTACGTTTGGAACCAGTTATGCGAGGTAGGCGACGATTGTTCGTATTTGACAGCCACCTCCTCCCCCTTGCTTGTAAACAGTACCACTGAACTGTCAAAAAGGTTCAGCTGATTAACACTGAGTTCATTCGTGACGTCACGCTGCAGTACCTAGTAGTGTAAGGCCTGCTTCATAAAATAACACGCGCATGCAAGGAGTCGTGCTTACCTATAGGGTTTCATTTATAACTTGAATGTGCGCATATAAATGCATTCGAATTGGCGTTGACGGCACCGTCGAAAAATTTGCTCTTTCAGCAAATATAGACAGTTTCTTATGGGATTTTTCGGTGGAGTGAAAGTATAGTACAAAGTCCGCCATGTTTCACGCACAGTCTGACGTTTGCTTATGGATTTTCTCATAGGAGTAAAGAGCTACAGAGTCGCCGTCAACGCCAATAGCGTCTCCGTTGACATCTGCTGTGTTACCGACCAGAACTGTAATACAAAAAATCGGCTTTTGTTTGGGAGTATCTATCTCAATCTGCCGTACACAGCTTTACTTATTACTTGATGTACTGAGGTTAGTTCGTCTTACCGTGCAAAAATTCTCTTCAGTGCGTGAAACCCGTTCCCTGTGTTTATTGTAAGTGATAACGGTCCAGTAGTGACTTTCTTTCAGTTTCAAATTGTTACAACACTATTTTATTTAGAATACTCGTTGATAAAAAAAATATTATTTTCAACATTCCCCGGAGCAGACTTCTTCAAACGAACGAAAATATCATCAAAAGTAAGTAAAATAATGCACAACCTTAGTCTTCTTATTCTACTATTTTCAAGTAAATTTACAGTCATTAAAAAACACAATAATCATACAAATTTTGCTTCAACATTGACTATAAAAGTCCAAATCTTAAAACATTTGACATGTTGCATAAAACAGCACTAGGAAAAATCGATATTTCCATCATCCTCATCCATAGCGAATACTTTTCATTCCCAGATGACAAACATCGCCCAACAGCACGATTTGGTGAAAAACAGTCTGTTTCAATTTATAAATACTCATATTCCGGGTGCCGATCTCAGCATCGTTGACGACATAGTATTGTCATATGTTATCTCAATAATAGAGGAAGCTTCCCAGGATCCGTGCTTCGATGTTGAAGGTAAGTATAGATAATAGGCTGTTGGTAATTATGATAGCGCATTGAATGTTGCATTCGCAAGTAATGATCGTCAAATTTGGATATTTGACTAGATGCCTGGTAGGTTTAAAATAATCGGGTCATTTTAAACAGATCAGGTTCATTGTGAATTTTACCAAGCCAAATATAATATAATGTAGGTGTTGGTAATTATGATAGCGCATTGAATGTTGCATTCGCAAGTAATGATCGTCAAATTTGGATATTTGACTAGATGCCTGGTAGGTTTAAAATAATCGGGTCATTTTAAACAGATCAGGTTCATTGTGAATTTTACCAAGCCAAATATAATATAATTGTGATCATGAAACTGTCAAAACACCTACCTACATCATTATTGTTTATTATATGCATATATATATATATATATATATAGGTTTATTTCGATATATAAAGATTTAACAGTAGTAGCCTTTTCAGGCGATTTATAGAACATCATAAAACAATAGCTTAAACATTAAACATTCAAAATTTTCCTCAAAACAATAAGCCGATACAAAACACATTGATAACTGCTAAGCTTAGGCTGACTGCACGTATCAATGGTTGCTACTGGTTGATTGATCAGAATCAGTGATATTGCACAATTAATCAACTTAATGAAGTGGGAGTGACAGTTCATTCTCATGTACAAGTATCAGTGACTCTATATTTTAAAGACCAATAACGGCGCTGGCTACTTCCATGCAATCAGGTGGGAGTGGGAATGAAGATTAGAGTGAGCTGTGTCGTTTTGGGGGCTGTGTTTACCTCTGCGTCCCCACAAAGGTCACAGGAGAGGAGATTTTGTTAATAGGTTGGGTTCGTTGGATCAGGATTCACCTTCGATCGTAGTTAATTTTTCCTTTTTTGTTTCTTTTTTAAATTCATACGAATAACAAATTGCGATCTTTTGATGAGCGAATGATGCGACCATATCATCTCAGTAATATAAAGAGGCCTGTGATAAAACCCACGATCTTTTGCTCAGTAAGCAGTAACAGTTGGACCAGACAAACGAGCCCCTTACATTATCTTACAGTACCAACGACGATTGTTTATGCCCGGCGACATGAAACTATTGTAATGGAATTATGTTTCGTTGTATTTGACTGAGAAATCATTTTTTTTTTCCACTGTTTTAACCGAGTTCCATCTCACTAGCGAACGAAGTGTTGACGACGACTATCACGCAAAATAAATGAACTCTATTGCGTATTAAAACGTATTATTTCTCCTTCACAATTCGCCAGACCGCAGCGACCATGTACCACTCTTCCGGATCACAACCATCGACACGTCCTGACCAAGGCTCTACAGCCCAATTTAAATGATTAAATTCAGCGTTCAACTCATTTGAACTGCGTAATGAACTTCGAGAAAGCTGGTCGATATCGAACTTGCTCATTGCACGTCAAGTCAATTGATCACCGACTACCAGATGGGGGTGAGTTAAATCGAAGACAACAAATCAAGAAGACTGGCAACTTTGCCAGAATCCAAGCGACAGACACAATGGCGCTGCGCTTGAGTGAAGGTGGAAGCAACGCATAGAAAAATGAGCAAATACACAAACCCTTCTTCTGAGGATGTAATCTTTGCTAAAAATTCGTTCGAAGCATTTACCTTTGAGCGGCAGATGACGCTATTGTACCTGTCTCATAGCGTTCGTATGAGAAAATGGAAGAGTTGCTAGTCTTCTTGATTTGTTGTCTTCGGTTAAATTCAACTCACTTGTCTCGTCTAAACTCGACATAAAAAAATGACAGGTGAAGTGCTGGTCGAAAACCTCATCGAAAGCAAACCCGACGACCGATGAGAGTAACTCAAAATCGAGTCAAACTCGACTCAAATCTGCAAAAAGTGGTGACACTCAGTTGATGAGCAAAGTTTCCCCGACCCTCATCAAAAATCAGCCTGAATATCAGGAAAACCGATGAAAACCTTTTTCATCGATTCCCCCAATATTCGAGCCGATTCAACTCTACTGAGCAACCCCATCTTTTGCAATTGTGAGTTGAACTCGATACAATTTTGAGTTACTCTCATCGTGTTAGGGAGGACCCGTAAGCACTCAAAAACACTTTACAATCTAATCGGTGAAGTCCCAAGCCTGCATGTTCGATCGCGATCAAGTTTAACAAAAGCCGTACCAACCCCTGGCCACAATCCAAAATACACATACAGTATCCACTCGCTAATCCGACAAATATGCGGCCGGATTAGCGAAGGTGATCCGATAATCCGACTGTCAAATCCATACAAATCAATGTTACCAAACTAACAATGTAAAAAACCTCCATAAGCGGGGATTAGTGATTAGCGAGGGGTACTGTAATCTGTTTTAAATTTAGCAACGTTGAAAAATGCAGTACTTTGAAAGTATTGAATGTTGAAACATTTCATGTTCCAGAATCTTGAAAATTGGCTATCAGTCTAGGATCTCGAAATATTTCTAGGCATGAGACTGGGAAAAAATATTGTTGCGAGTTTTTTATATGTGATCCTAAACCTCGTCTTAAACATCTTAATTACCATCTGTGTACAAATTACCACTCACTGGTGCCAAAAAGTACAGTATTTAAAAAAAGCCAAATATTACTTAATCATAACCTAGGAGGAGCAGATAATAGCAGATAATAAATCACTGGCCACATTAGATAGTAAGAATCTCAAAAATTGCACTTTTGATACCAATGTGAATAATCATACTATAAATTGCAAACGATATATCTATCAAGGATAATCGATTGAAGTAGTGAAATTAAATCACCAGAGTTTTTTAATTTGTCCAAGTCACTGGATAGTGAAACTTTTTGAAATCGAGGACGGTTCCGAGATCTCGGATTTGATTTTTTAAGACCCATAGTCTAATTTTTGCTAAACTGTCGGGGACGCAAAATTGTCCTATGTTCTATGGAGTTTCATATGCACATGGGCAGTGTTGGCAAAATCATCAATCAAATGATATTTTTCCGCTCTCAATATTACGCGTGATATTGGAACAAAATATCATGCTTGATATTGATTTTAAAAGCTCCTTTGATATTGCGAGACTATTCACAAGGCCCTGCACAATATCAGCTCTAATCGACAAAATCTATGCGACGAAAAGACTGCTAGTTTTCTTTTTCTGTTGAAGTCGAACAGGTAGGAATTTTCAATCGGAAATTTCTCGCGTCGCTTCATTGGTATTTTTTTTTCAAGCTTCGGTGAAGCGGATGAGTGCAAGAGCGCTTGATTTTGATAGTTTCGTCTTTCATGAAACACATCAACGGAGGTTGCATGACTTACGCTACGATTTTTTTGCCGAGATGGGCACCATCGAGCAGCTCGGCATTTTATTTGGCTGGATCTCAGTGAAAAACTTGCCGAGAAAATCTAAGTGTGTTTATCACGGAAAATTAAAATATATATTTAAAGCATTTCTCACGTAACAATACTCGAAGAATTCACGTAACATGTTTAATTTATCTTTCATCCACATATTTATCTAATAAAAAGTTACGAAAACAGGACATAACGCATATTAAACAAATTGAAATAGCGGTGATAGAGTATCGGTGAAAGGGATTGAAAGCCATAATGAGGTTTCATTTCAACTCTATAATCGACGTTACTTTCATTTAAAGCAATGCAATGAGCAAATCAACGAGAAAATCCACAGTCAGCATTTCGATCTAATAGTGCTTCTTTTTCATTTTCGTTTCGTGCTGATACTCTAGCTTGGCGTTATAGAAATGATACGTTGAACACGTTTAACACGTTGCAAGAAATAAACAAAACTCAAGTTAATTTTAGAGCTTCGAAAATTTAGAGCTCTGTTCACAACAAACATGAAGCTGAGAGTTGACTCGATTGCCCTTCGTTTTCTTAGAAAGTGAAAGTATAGTTTGCTATTTCTCTTTACTCTTTAGGTAGTTTCATGAAACTCCTCACCACGGATTGGTTAGAATTGTAGCTGGTGAGTTTGGTCAGCTTGATATTCGTATCTGCGATATCACATCTTGTAATATCATCCGCAGCAGCTTGCTTGTTGATTTTTGGTTACGAAAATCAAGCGTGATCTTGGGCATTGATGAGATTTCTTTTTTTTTTAATATTTTCTCAACACTGCACATGCTTCTAGCGGCAGTAAAGTTTCACGGCCTTGAAAAATTTCGTAAGACATCATCTTAATTTTTGTTATGCCTGGGATCGAAATGTTTTTCGTCTAGGGTTTTATTTGATTTGTTTTAAAAGTCTAGCATATGTTTCGCTGTTTAAAAAATATAAATAAAAAACATGTCTGGCCCTCAGAATCGATAGTCTTGCCTCAAAAATTGGTGGACATAGAAAGCAATGAAGTGCTTCAAGAACATTAAGTTGAGACGAGGTGAAATATCAAAACCTTCTGCTCTCCACTGCTTTTTCGATTTGTAACGAGGTCAACTGTGCCAAAATTTAACGAATTTGGTAGCGATTTGGATTAATAGGAGGATTTATTCAAGTTCAAAGATAGTGTGGGAAAATTTATGGAAGCGGAAAGCAAATATTCTTTTGCTTATCATTATTTCACGCATTGCTCATAACATTGGGCAGAACAACTAATCGATTCAACTTCTGTGCAAAAAAATATTCGACTTAAGTTTGAACATCGACGTCCATTTTTTTTTTTGTCAAGCTGGAGCTGCGTGACAGCTTAGTTTTCAAGACTTGACTCATTTGAATAAATTTTGCTTCTATCTTTGATAATACAGCAGAAGGACTAGCCTATGTTGGCCGCTTGAACACTAGATTCCGTATGTATTGTTTCAAGATAGTTATAGAAAAAATGCTGTGACGTGTGCGCGTAGATACATCCGCGTAGTAAACCGATTGAATAAGTAAATCCGTTTCGAACGAAATATCTAAATTATGTAAGTTACGAAAACCGCGCGAATTCCGAAACAACCGAAGCGAGAAAAAAGGCTTATTATCATTTAAAGAGTGCCACCTAAATAAATGTGATAGCCTATGCCTAGGCAAGTTGATTAATTTTGGTTTCCTCCCTAGATATCTACTTATTTACTACGTATCAATCATTTCAAGATTTCGCGACCGCACCGAACAAATTCTATACTTAATAAGCTCAAAAGTGTTTGACAAGCTCTACCGAATTGCGTATCACTTCTGCGTAAGCTCCGTAGACGTAGACGCGTTCAATCCGACAGTCGGCAAAGGTTTAACCTGTACCAACACCGCTTAAGGAACGACCTCGAGTCGAAAATCGCGCAAATTGTGAACGGCACGCGAAACAACCGTAGAAAAAAAACAGCTTATTATCACTTAAAGAGTGCCACCAAAATAAATGTGATAGCCTATGTTGGCAAGTTGATTAATTTTGGTTTCCTCCCTAAATATTCTACTTATTTTACTGTTGAGCTTTGTTTCAATTTTGTTATTTTACCGCACGTATCAATCTTTTCAAGATTTCGCGACCGTACCGAACAAATTCTATACTACAGAAGCTCAAAAAAAAAACTTTTGGTGAGCTCTACCGCATTGCGAATCACTTTTGCGTAAGCTCCGTAGACGTAGGCGCGTTGATTCCGACAGCCGCGAAAAGTTAAACATGCATCAATACCACATAAGGAAAGATCGATTTTACGTATGGTTTAGTTCATAGATTAAAATTGACTGCTGTTTAAAAATGTAAGTACTTGAACACTAAGAAATAAGTTAACTCAAATGCTTTAACCGCATATATATAAGAGATTTCGCGTATTGAGAGAATAATATAGTAATCGAGTACAACAAACTCAGGGGAATACAATACCTCCAAAAGTTTAAAAGCTATTAATTGTCACATACTTCTACTTTTACTTATTTCCTAAACTATTCCTCTCCTTGTTAATCTGCTTAATGCTGCCTGCGTTTTCTTTTTAAAGTTCAAGACTAAATAAGAAGATTTATTCTACAACTTTAAAGGTTAGTTGTCTCCCTGAGCGGTTGTCTCCCTGAAGTTTCTTATTTAAGTTCATTTGATGATTATGATATCTCATTAGTCTAATTTAATAAATTATTAAAAGCTCTAATTCACCTAATCAATCATAACCCATGCTTTATTAAGTACCTGCATTTGTGCTTGTAATCTAAAATTAAACGTGTTTCAAGTACCTTTGATTTAAGCCTATACATATTTTTTATATCTTAGTTCGACACAGGTAACACCTTCATGTGACTAAAATGCTTCATTTGGAAGTTAGTTTCCTAGCTGATTTTTAAATTATATAGGGTATATGCTCCAACTATGTTCACACGCTTCCACTATGTCGCACCACAAAAAATATGGGTATGTCACAATAGAAGCACGCCACAGTGGAAATCCCGAGCCATAGTTCAAACACTTATCCCAAATCAAAATGAAGCACATATAAGATTAGTTACAATACCATTTACAAAAATGATGTTTAACATTGTTTCCTGAGTAATACTTCAATGAAAACAACAATGAAAGCTTGTCACGCAAATAGAAGGAGCACCGTTGGGCACTTTCTGAAATATTTCAATAGTATAATTCCCTTGCAAACCCAAATAAATCTATCTGCGTAGAAATAAATAAAATAAGAGTGATTTACGGCAAAACCCGCCAGTATCACACCCAACGTCAGTGCCTATACGTAAGCGTACTACGACGCGGCTCTCAATTAAAGGAGTAAGAAGTGTGATAGAAGTGTGACTGCTAGACCAGATCTTTGGTTCTCTCAATGGTTTATCAGAGAGGGGAAGCTTAGTAGTCTCCATTGCCTGCCCATGACGCCATTCTATCGCGGCATGAGCCAGCAACGCCGGCCATAAACCTACCGTCTCCAACACTCCACTATAAAGCATGAAATTAAGCCCGCCTACCAACAGCAAGGTGCAAAAATTAGCAAAGGGGAGGGCAGTTTGAACATCGATGTCCATTTTAGAATTTTATGATGGCGGCTTCTGGTTTCCTGCCCTGAGACGTAAAGCACGCGAAAAAATGTTGCAATAAATGAATAGAAAAAAAAACAAGTACAGTAAAAAATATGTTTTTACACTCAGTACAGAAAAGTGCTACTTTTCGAAACTCTTTCGAATATCATAATAGCCTACATTTTCTAGCTAAAATAACAGTGTCGAATAGTACTACTTTTCAGCACCCAGTGCCGAAAAGTTCTACTTTTCGACATTCTTTTGAGTGCAAAAATGTTGTATGCAACTCGTCGCAAAATTCGATTAGCTCGAAATATAAAGTACGACTCGTATCGTGCTGTAAAAATATTATTTTTGCAACTTGTTGCATAAACAGCCATTTTTTAACGCTTACCCAACTTATTTCAGGTTTCATCGAAATGATGACAGCTTATTTCAATGACTTTGTAAACATCGAGCCAGCCACGGTTTGCTCCTGGATATTTCAACTTGAAAGTCAACTCTCCGAAAAACAAAGCAAACCAAGCAGTAATGATGCTCAAAGCTTATCATTAAAGTATGATTCCATTATCCACATCTCAGTACCATACCATACCACGTTCAGACTACAGTGTATTATAACATGTTATAATAATTATCAACAAGAAAAATTTAAATAGCCTTATACCATGTGATAACTCCCCAGTCTTGCCAGCGTTTTGTACCACGTTCAGACTATTGCCGCGGATACACTTGTATGACCAACTATGAGCATGAGCATTATTTGTATAATAAATTATGAGCACATCCATGGTCACTCTTGTATAGTTTTTGGATTTGCTCATAATTTATTATACAAATAATGCTCATGTTCATAGATTGCCATGCAAGTGTAGCTGATATCACGTAATATAGGCTATCTTGATATCAAAAGTCATACATATGATTTCCGGTTAACATTTGACGTTTGAGTGCTCATTGCAAGAAAGTCTATATATATATTACGTGATATCAATATATCATATTAACAATATGATCCATTCATGCCTTTTCCAAATATTGCAATGGTGACCCGCAAAATTTCGTTCATGCACCAGCTAGCGTTGAAAAAGGTCAGCAACAATCATTCAATTACAGTCGAGGGGTGCGAATATAGCACTTATTACAAAAGTAAGAGTCACATTATTTTCATTAATTACATTTGTCTGACATGTCACTGTTGTCATCAAATAAAATAATATGCTGAAATACATTCATTTGAAATATTAAACAAATTTTCATTTGGTTTACCTCTCGTGACGATAAACAAATACATTGGTAGCCTTTTTGGTCACAGAGGTGCTTTCATCGCTAAAAATTTGGTTCGCCAGCTGCACTGAGAGTGGATCATATTGTTAATGTAATATATTTGGTTTTATCACTTATAGTCTTAACGTACTATTATACCTCGTTCACATTACAGCATTATATAGGATTTCCAGTGAAAACTAGATGTATGAGTGCTCATTGCAAGACAACCTATATTACATGATATTAGCCATAGTCTGTACGGGGTATTAGGGTGATACAATACAGAGTCCAAAAATTGCCGTGGATGTGACTGACTCTGAATCGTATCAGCTTAGCTGCTCTAATTTTTACTCTCTCTTTTAAGTTCTCTAAGCTTGGCCGATATTTTACCGGAAGAGAAACTTCGAGGCCGTCAATCTTCGATTTCCGAAAGCGAACAAACCGCCAATGGAGGTGGTTGCCAACCCAAACGAGTGCAGCATCTTTCTGAAACCAGCGATGCTGGTTCTACGGATAGCTCAAACTGTGATCTCTTCAGTGAAGAGTGTGAGGTTTTGCAAGAAATGTTTCCGGAAAGTTCGCTCATTGAGGTACATGCACAACTTATTATAGAAGAAAGAAATATTTTAATTTTTACTGCTTCTAATTCAAGGTCAAGCATTGCATTCTCATTGCTAATGGCGACATTGATCGTGCAACACAAATACTGCTTCATCGTCAAGAAGCCGGGCAAAGCCTGAAAGGAAATCCAAACAATTTGCAGGCTAACAAGTCACTTCCGCAAATCGACGAGACTGAGTTGAAGAATAGAATTATTTCAAGGTAAGTACAACGGATATTGCGTTCTTTTCGGTGGTGGCCTTCATGAACATGCCCACCTTATATCGCTCATACATGGGTAGTAGGGTGTCCCAAAATTGCACTTTGTCAGAAAACCAGGGGGATCACCCTCCAATGATAGCTAAGGGTGTAACAAACAAACTCTTGTATGATGGCAACTCTGGGAAATGTTTAATTTTTTTTACTAAAATGTGTGTATTTTTTCTGAAATGGCAAATTGCCAAAATTTATTGAAAAACATCACATCCGCCATTTTGAAAAATTAGGTGCGAGTTAAAATGGTCGAACTCCAGCACATACTTGGTCTATTGTCTCTAGCGTACAAATAGGCAAAGTTTCATGGAATTCGGAGAAGGTAAAGTTTGATCGACTCGTTGGATGGCGTGGATTTGCTATATATAAGAAAACATGCAAAAATGTAAATTTTTATTCCACAGTAAATCACGAATAACTTAATAACCGGTTAAACTTGGATAAAGTTTTTCCCATATAATTTTTCATCTTTCTGTTTAATTAGATTGAAAATAGCATTATGGTTGATACCCACTTTTGATGATTAAATGTCATAATGTACCTAAAAAATTTTAGGGAGAGAAATTAAAAAAACTGTTATAAAAAATTTGACGCAGTATGCCGTGACAACTTTTTTTTTCTTTTAATTTTGACCCGTATCATAATGAGCCTGTAAAACATATATAAGCGTTAAGTTTTCACTAAATTTCAAAAAATTATAAATGTGTCAACAATAATGGCCTTTTATCAAAAATCTAAACAACATTTGCCACTGTCATACAAAAATTTGGTTGTTACACGCATTGAGCTCGGAACAAGAAAATGTTTGAACATTCCGTAGCCTGAACTAACAGAAATCTTAAAAAAATCTGAAGCTTTGAGATTTGTTAAGAGCATAAGACTGCGTTTTTTTTTTAAATTTGTTAAATATTTAAGTAAGGTAAGGCCTTAGATTTTTTAAAACAAGAATTCCCCCCCCCCCCCTTGGCTAGTTTTTGCACCTTGATGCTGGTGGGCGGGCTTAATCTCATGCTTTATAGTGGAGTGTTGGAGACGGTAGGTTTATGGCCTACGTTGCTGGCTCATACCGCGATAGAATGACGCCATGGGCAGGCGATGGGGATTACTAAGCTTCCCCTCTCTGATGAACCACTGCATGAGAAAACCAAAGATCTAGTCTAGCAGTGATAGTATCACACTTGTTACTCTTTTGCTTTAGAGCCGCGTCGTAGTACGCTTACGTATAGGCACTGACGTTGGGTGCGATACTGGTGGGTTTTGCCGTAAATCACTCTTATTTTATTTATTTTTACGCAGATAGATTTATTTTGGTTTGCAAGGGAATTATGCTATTGAAATATTTCAGAAAGTATCCAACGGTGCTCCTTCTATTTGCGTGACAAGCTTTCATTGTTGTTTTTATTGAAGTATTACTCAGGGAACAATATTAAACATCATTTTTGTAAATGGTATTGTAACTAATCTTAAATATGCTTCATTTTGATTTGGAATAAGTGTTTGAACTATGGCTCGGGATTTCCACTGTGGTGTGCTTCTATTGTGACATACCCATACGTATTGTTGTGGTGCAACACCCGTTCGGCAGCGCTGTTGTAAGGCCAAAATGTTCCTTAAAAATTCAAAAATGGCTTTTAAACGCGAAAAAGCCTTATTCCCCATAATCCAAAAGCAGAAACGCATTGAAATGGCATAAAAACGCCAAAATTGCGTTCCAACGAAATTATAGTCCAAAAATGGCTTTAAATTTGCGAATGTGATTTAAAAACATCAAAAAAAGTCATCCAAATGTCATCGAAGCATTAAAATTAATTCGAATTTGCAACGTTAAAATGGCCTGAAAAGGCTGGAATTGGTATTGCTGATTGCATCTGAAATTGGACTGCCCCAAAAATTCAAAAAGTGTGCTAAAAGTGCACGTTTTCGTGAAATCGTTTTCGTGTCTACGGAGCACTTATTGCTTGCAACACAAGGTAATAAGTGCACCGAAGGCACCAAGATGATTAGACGGACACTCGCATTTTTATCACACTTTTAATAAGTGAAAACGCGCTCATTTTTTTTCCTCTTTTCGGGACCTAACACTACTGCGACCAGTAAATTGATCTATTGTAGTATATCCCGTGTCTTTAGTTTAGTACATTTCGTATTACTCCATCACTATTGAGAAATTATGAAGTAGGGTAGAGCACTACTTCGTCGTAATCGCCCATTTCCGTTCTATCGATCAGAAAAGATCAATAATATCAATGATCTCAGCATGCACAAATCAATAATAGGTTTGTTCCGATGCGTTAGTTCATTAGCTACAACGTAAACCCTGTTAGAGCGCATTATATAAATATTTACGCTCATTGTTCTCAAAACAAAAGAAGCGCTCCTAGCGAATCCCCTTTTTCTACGTTTATTCGTAGGACGAAGGAAATCTAATGGCGTTTCAATGCGTTAGGACGGAATTGAAACTCGTAGAACGAATTTAGAATCAAGAAGCAGTATTACATGTTAAACAATATCTCTACAATTTGTGACTCTTTATCAAATCCAACGGTACGTATGGAAAGGTAAAAAATTTAGAAATCATCTTTGACAAAAATATTTTATTTTTCGTTCAAACTCGTTCAGAAAAGAGAGGTAAAGCGCAGGTTGTGCTTAGTAGGACGGAAATTAGATCAAAACCCCTATTCGATTTTTTTTACAGTTGCCACTCTTACATTTATCGCAAGGATCCGCTATTTATACCCTTCGGAGTGTTGAAACACCCTCCAAAGGCGCGCCCCTTTGTCAGTCAAAATTGGATTCTTTAGCAACAAAATTAAGGTATGACACCGATAATGACCATGCATCAGAACCCTAGTCTTAACCACCTCAAACTAGGGAACAACGAATAGAAGATTAGGAATCACATAGATGAAGACAACTAACTCATTGTTTTCCTTGTTTCAAGATCATCATCGGTAGACAAAGCCGAGTCTTGTGACTATCAACAAGGCATAAAAAGTAACAAGGACTAAGATGTGTTTCTTGGATTACTGAAAAATCCTGTGCCCCTAGTTTGAAGTAGTTAGGACTAGGAATCGGTGGTAGATCTTACATCCCGTAACGTACCACGAAAAGGTGATCTACCCACGTTACGGGGCAAACGCGCTCATTAATCCAGTTTGATGTCAAATGCGCAATAATGCCCTCACAATCGCTAAATTAGCCCAATTCCCAGAAACACGCCAAAATGGCCTTAAAATCTAAAATGGCTTGCCCACTGGTTTAATAATCCTGAAAACGAAACCACCACCCTCGTAATAATCTTGGAAACTTCAAAATGGTGCTAAAAAGGCCAGAAATTGGCCAAACGAATTAAAAATGGTTTAGAATTTTCAGGCGATCTTTGAAATGTCGCGATGGCCTTGAAAATGCCTGAAAACGCTAAAATTATTTATAAATTAAAGCCCTGAACAGCCCTGAGAAACAACCTAAAAAACGCCCAAGGACTCCATTAAGAATGCAGTGAAGATATTTGTTAAAGATTTGTTTATTAATAAGTAGGTATAGTTTAACAATTGCAATTCCCCTAAAATCTAATATCTTCAATCAAATAGAGAATTTATGTCGACCCTTCGGACAGGGACTATCGAAACGAAATATGGGATACAAAGGGTTTAAGTGCAAACTAAATGTAATGGCTTCATTTTATTTATTTTTTTATCCCTTCCTTTTAGATATTCGTACGTTGACAAAGAAGATCACCGTGAGTACAAACCGGTTGCACCGAAGGTTGAACCGAAAAAGCTGATTCGTTATCGAGACAATAAAATCGTCTCGCTAAAAGGTGAACGTTACACCGAGGTATCACGTCGCGGAGGCGATGAAGAGACGGAGCTCAAAAAGCCCAAGAAACCAATTTGTCCGTAACTAAAATGGATCCTGCTGCTGATGCTGTTCATAGCCAATACAATAGCTACAATTATCAATGGTTGTTCGCATAAGGATAAGCTACAACAGCAACATCAACCGCAATTACTATTTTTTGTCGTGTGTGTAGTAATCGTATCAATCTGCATTGTAATCTCACTGAACGAGTGTCACAATTCAACTAAAAATAGTCAGAAACACCAGCAGCAAGAAGGAAAACTGTACAAGCTCATTGAAAACAAATATCCAATGGCGACTAGTAATCACGTTCTTCGTGTTAGACTCCATTCAAATGTTATTTTTTTGAATCTATATTACTGTGAATCTCAACAGCGAAGTGAGCTTTTGGTAGAATTTATTAAATCCCCTACCCATGCTGTAGCTTCTTCGGTCACCGCTAACATTCTTATACTTCTGGAAAGACTTAATCAAGTATGCGTCTTATTATGGACACTTTCTACTAATCACCGTTATTTAATACATTTGGTGAGCAAAACAGTAATCTCATTTTACATTTTTTATACAACCCCTTTTCTAGATGTTCCTAAGTACGATTATTATTTCTATTTTGTATTTATTTTAGCGATGATACTTCGGTACTTATTATTTAATATCTTTACGAATTTTGTGTTTATTAGTAATAAGCAGACCGTACCATGTCGTATTATTAGTTTCGTTCCCTCGCGAATATACGAAAGCACATTTAAATTTATTTTATAGTTTTGATTGTATCCGAAATTCTTTATGTTTTCTTTTTTCTGCATGCACCCACTATCATCAATATATAGAATACCGTTGAAGTTTATTCAAGCGCCAGCACGTTGTAACGTTTGACACAACTTCGACGGGAACGAATGTGATTCAATTTGTGATAATTTAGGTATCATTTAGTTAAAAGTGGTCGTGATTCGAAATTGAACTAAGTGAACATGAACAGGATTTTATAGGGTTACTCGAGAATCAATGTTACGCCCCTTTTGGCAATCGAGCACAGCAATTTACCATTCTATTTTATTATTTCTTGCTTCCTAAAAAATTGTGATTTGTGATGCGTATTAGAAACAACTTCAACGGTGTTCTCATCATATCTTTTACCAATTTTTTTTTTTCAAATTTGTGTTCTGTAACTTCTGTTAGATTAATACATATATAGGTGCTTTTAAAACTGCATCTGATTAAGAGATGGCACTGACTCAATGACATAAGCATTTGTAGTTTTCATACAGAAATATAATCCTTATGTGCAAGGGTTGAATCTAAAAACTAATTGTACTAGCAGAAGTAGGAGTCGTTCCACTACTTGGCACGGTTCCTAAGTAATGATAACACACCCTAATAATGTTGTCATATCTCAATGTTGATGAGATCTTTCCAATAATCACATCGCATTCCTAGAGAACGCGAACTAATGTTTGCATTGGTAACATTTTTTTAAGACCTACAAGTGAGGTGCCGGAACACATGATGCGAATGATTGAAACTCGCAGTGTAAACAAATAACAGATTAAAACATAACTTAATGTTAGGTTACAGTATTAAAGAGACCTTCAGCCATTGGCTGGTTCGTCTCTGTCATACATTAGTTAACGATAACAAAAGTACAACAAGATTGACACGCGATGTGCGCGACAAAGCGATTACAATTCTCGACCACTACCTCCCCTATCCTACCGGATAATATTTTTGGTTTGCATAGTCGGTCTCCGATTCGTGAGAAAAGGGCATTACAAGATTTGGTTACAAAAGCTGATGTGCTCTTTTCTATTGTTGGTCGAGAATTGTTCTCTCTGTTGTGCTTCAACTGGTGACAGATTAACCTTCCTAATGCATTAAGAAAAAGTTACACATAGTGCATTAACGGATCTATTTGATTCAGATTCCAACTTGCTCTCAAAAAATTATTTTGAGACAGATTTTTGAAAAATGGGGTTCATTTGAAAGCAACAGGAGTAAAACATATGAGCGAGGAGGACGCGGGGGGGGGGGGGGGGGGGGTTGCAAACTGTTGAACCATTGAGCGGCGAGGTAACGAGCTAATGACGGTGAAAAAGAAAAGGAAGCAGTTGCTTTTGATGCGCCATTTATCCTGATTTTTGTACACGAAAAAAAGTTGTTTATTTTGATATCGTAATAAAACTGTAACAAATTTGTTACCTCAAACAATAGTTCCAAAAATAAACTATTTTTTGAGCTAACAAACTTATAATGAGAGAGAGAAGGATTAGTATTTTCCATTTAATTCCCCTACTTTATTTGCTTATCCTTGACAGATACGCGTATTTCGTCTACAATGTGCAGACTTCTTCAGTGTCTTGTACTAATACTCGACTGGATTCTAACAAACTTGTTCCAGAACCTTACGGTATCAAAATAAACAAATGTCGAACTTTTTTCGTGTACGAAAATCAGGATGCATGGCATCGTTTGCACACGGTGTCTTCTCCTGAAGCGAATCGTCCACTTGAAAACGGCAGAACGATGAATAATTCATTAGGATTCCACTCCGATCCAGAAAGTGTTGAATGAACTTCAGCTCGAACGAACAACCTAAACCTTGCACTACTCCTGCTGCTGTTCATTAAATCAATCATAATGCAATTGATACTGACTGTATCAATGTAGAACATACAATAGCAGCAAGTGTTTTCATCGACCGTTACCTGCGGTATATAATTCGTGCCTGGTGGCCTCGTTAATGTCATCACTCATCAGAAGCCGATAACAACAGAAATTCGAGAACGTAAGCGGAGGTGGATCGACCACACACTACGAAGGGGCGGGAACTAAATCTACAAGCCACCACTGGATTCGAACCCAGTAGGACATCGCAGTAGAGACAGTCCCAGAGGCTTCAGGCGACGGAGCTTCAGCAAGGAAATCAAGCATGTTGATAGAAATTTCACATTGGGTCTTTGCACAACTGTAGCTATCCTACATGACTCATGTAACATGAAGGAGTGAGTTCATCTCTTTTTTTCTGACGAAACCCTGATATCTCGCATGTTTGGCACATCTGGGTGTGGCCAATGTGGCCTGGACATTCCATATGATCAACTTTTGAATAATGTTTCAACTTTGCACGAATTCAAATGGAGTTTCTTGTAGTAGATATGAACTAATCTGTCATATGTCCGGAATCAGTGAATCAATCCCAAATACATATAGTCAATAGTATTCTATGGGACACTGATACCTTTCATTTAGCGCTGATTTTGTCCAGTTTAGTGCAGTGATTGCCGATAAACCGATTATGTAACATGTATTTTGTTGTAACACTCACGCACACGCACAAACAAACACTAAGTCGAAGGCAGGCATAAGCAAGGTACCGTTTTTTGGTGTCATAAACCAACAAAAAGAAAATTCTACCCAATAAACTGTTGTAGTAACCTAAGTTCTTAGTTATCATTTCGAATTTGAAAAAAACGTTGTTAACGGGTTTCCCAACTATCCTAACTGTCCCAAAAACAATGACCAAATCTGGGGGTGCGACACATCTAAAATATGTTTGCATCTCTTGCATCTACATCCATCTACTCGCATCGTTCTCCACCTTTTTGTAGCAAATCTTCATTCTATCTACTAAGCGTTCGAGCATCTCACAACAGCAAAGCAACATTTTCCTGCATCTTAGATAGAGTCGCTCCCATCGGACCAAATGTCTTTTTCAGTTCACCTTATTTAGGTATATACATATTACTGTATACTCAAAGCAAACAAGTATATATGCAATATGGTACCAAGTACGCTTCAGCGCTAAATGGTCAAAATCAAGCCAAATAGTAAAAACTCAAAGTGTCAAATCATACATGTAATGATTAAAATGTTAACTTGTTTTTTTTTTCATTCAAATGTATACAAGTCCAATTCTAGTGATTGTTTTATTATTTCACAAAGGCATCAAAACCTATATTTAAGTTTGATTTGTTATATATACCACAGAAAAGTAAATCAGCTTTCATTTAACTACAGTGCCTCCCCGTTTTTTTTCATGCGAAGATTTTTTTTATTTTAAATATAAATATTTTGTTTCAGGGCCAAATAGACTCTCGGCATAGATTCAAAAGTATATTATACTATTATTTCAACAACAAATGTTGAACCAGCAAACCAGTTGTATAGAATCAATAAATCAATATTGTTGAATAATGATACAATTTTGTTGAATAATGATACAATATTAATAATACAATCTATTAGGCCTTATATATATATTTTTTTTTCTGCGACGCTGGACATCATCAGCTATTAATTTCAACAATTATATAGTCGTAATTTCTTCGTATTTTTCCCAAAAATTCACTGACATCTTTGAAATTATATGTTAAATAATGCATTCTATGTATTTTATTAAAACCGGATAGGCACTGTAATTCAAATTCTACAATTACCACCGTGAACCAAGCCTTTCTCATGTAATAGAAGTTTTGCAATTTCTTTTTTTGAACAAATACCTACGGAATTTACTAGTCGTACAACCTGGTGGAAATAAATGCAGAGTAATAGACAACTCGATAGTCGATAACGAATACTTATAGCAGAATACAAACGAAACATGTGAAGTGTTTTGAAAATGACGTGTAGTTTTCATGAGCTGAAATTTAAATAAAGATTGTGCAATAGGAGGAGGCTTCACGTTTTAATTTCCATGAAAGAAAGTGGGGTCTCCCTTAGCTCAGTCGGTAAAGGCGCAGCTACAAAGCAAGACCATGCTGTAGGTGGCTGGGTTCAATTCCCGGTCCGGTCTAGGAATTTTTCGGGTTGGAAAATTTCTCGACTTCCCTGGGCATAGAAGTATGATTGGACTTGCCACACAATTATACCAATGCAAAAATGGTACAGGCATCGAAAGCTCTCAATTAATAACTGTGGAAGTGCATCTAGAACACTAAGTTGAGAGCACGCAATAAGCTAATATGCGATATGCAATAAGCTTGAAATGCGAAGAAGAAGAAGAAGAAAGAAAGTGTCCTTTTTTGTATCGAAAATAGTATAGGTAAGTCTGTAACCCGATGGACTGAAATGCACACGGAGAATTCTTTTTTACTGGGCCAACCGCTTCTAGTCCACATGGTCGTTAAGCGACCTAATGTCCTTTTCCACTGCAATAAACCAACGTATGTAAGGATTGCCTTGGAGACGATGACCACTTCTGGGTTCTCTTCTGAAAATAAGCTTCGCATGTCGCTCTTTCAACATCCGTGTTACATGCATAGCCCACTGCAGCCTGCCGTATTTTATACGCATTACAATATGCATTTCGCCGTATAATTGATACAACTCGTGATTTATGCAACCCTGACAGTGTCTAGTTTATCGCCGCGTATTGTTAAAATAACAGCATCAAACACCATTTCACTATTATCGCAACGCTTTGGTAGAGCTAATCGTGAGTCCAATCCTCGTTGCCTTAGTTAAGACCCTAAAGGAGAAGGATCTGACTGTGTGCTACAATTGGCGAGGCGTCATACTGTGTATTGTTCTGAACGTTCTGTGAAAGGTTATCTTGAATCGGGTACAGGAGAAGACGAAGAAGCAGGCAGTCATATATAGCCACACTCCGTCTCATCCTGCAGGTTAATGAATTCCAATAGTTCATGCATTGGGTATACATTGACTCAGAACATGCTTTCGACTGACTAAACCAGTCCCTAAGAAGCTAGTGAGTCTTGGTTAAAATTGACAATCTCATTGAAGCGCAGTACGAG